TTTTACTGATTCTTTCTAAGGCTCTACATGGTCTCTCCCCCTGCTATATCTCAGACCTTTTAATATACACGCCGGCTCGTACCTTGAGATCCTCGGGTAGAGGTCTCTTTGTCTGTTCCAGAGGCTGAAAACTAAAGGGGACACAGCGTTTCCTTCCTATGTTTTTTACAAGTTGCTTTTTTATTTTTTGTGAAGCACTTTGTAATGTGGGTTTTAAAAATGTTTTTTATATAAAGAATTAGGTAATCCACAAAATAAATCTTCACAAAAATAAATCTCATCTTACATTAGCAAAACACTAGCTAACTAGCTAGCTAACTTACATTAGTCATTAGCCAGCATTTTGCTAAAATAAGCTAACTCCAGATGTGCCTATACGTATGTCGCTTTTTTCTTTAAACCATCTTTAAAATATGGTCGTCTTTTAAAACATGGATTAGCTTAGCACATAGCATATCAAAGTACAGAAAGCTGACTGAGGCTTGCTAAACTGTTATTGGAGCACAGAGCAAAAAGGGGCAGGACTTAGGAAGGGTCAACTGAATGATAGAAAATTTGTTGGACTTTTTAATCTGCATCTGGATCAGGATGAGACAAGAAAAACACAAACAGTGACAATCAGAGGACGTATGTGGCAGATTATTTTCTATTCAGTGCAGTAGTTCACTAGCAAATAATGACCATGTTCTAAAAATGCTTCTAATGTTTAGAAATCCTGGGAATCCACTGGGAAAAGTAAACTCTTCCTCTTTGGCGAATCTCCAATCTTTCAACCAGATATTTTTTTTTTTTTTAGATATTCTGCCAGGTATTTAAAAAGGGCTGAAAACACAACCTCCTTGGCTTAAGAAGTATTATTTCACGAACAAAAAGTCCCAGGCAATGTCTGTTTTCACATCACAACATCAATCTGGTGTCAGCAGATTCCCAGTCGTAAACAAAATTCTGCAAAATGAAAAGGTCAGTAAAGCAACCCGCTGCTCATTACGGTCCCTGAGATCAAGAAGAAAAAGAAGTAAAGTTCACTCCTGCTCTGCGAGGAGTTTCCCTGCTACATTTGTCATGCCTCCTCCTGCAGAGCTGTCAGCAGTCTGTACAGGAGGAAGAGGAGGAGGAGGTGGTAGCCAGGCACACTTCCAGAATAAACCCAACAGCACAAACCTCTTAATTACTGAATAATTTATGGAGTCTTAAAAAAAAAAGAAAGAAAAGAAGCAGGAGTCTGTTATCAACAGGAGCCCCCGGTAATGAGGCTGGGCAGGAGTGTGAGCAGATGGGAGGATTCTCGCATGATAAGCGTGTGTGATGCAAACTCACTAATGACTCACTGTAAAAGACAGTGTGACGTGTGCCTCAGTGAGTGTGTGTGTGAGCGTGTGTGTGTGTGTGTGTGTGTGAGTGTGTGTTCATCACTTATGCAGTCAAGTGTGACATCTGGAGAACATAAGTAAGAAAACCCCTCAAAGGAAACTTGCACAGTGAGCTGACACACCAACTTCTACAACTTTACACCACACTTTCTCTCTCTCACACACACACACACAAACACACTGACCATGGACGGATTATGAAACAATAGGCCCCTGGGCACAGGCTTGTACAGGGCCCCCCTACCCCTCCTACACAGGAGCATTATTTTGTGTGTCTTTGTAGTGTGACTTTGTGGTCATCTTCTCTTTGTGTTTATCTTGTGTCTTTATTGCTTTTTTGTCTCTTTGAGGTCATTTTAAATGTTTTTCATTTTGGATCATTCAGTGGTCGTTTCACATTGTGTCGTGGTTATTTTACACATCCTTGTGGTTTCTGAGTCTTTGCAGTCATTAAGTGTCTCTTTGTAGTTGTTTTATGGTAATTTAGCATTTTGTGGTTCTTAATTCAGTTTGTGTTTGATTGGCATCTCACATTTTTTGTCTCTTTATCGTCATTTTGCATTTGCAGTTTTTGGGTCTTTCTTTTTGTGGTTGTTCTGCATCTCTTACTGGTAGTTTCGGGTCTCTTTGTAGTCACTTTGCATCTCTTTTTAGTCATTTTGCATCTCTTAGTGGTCGATTTATGTTTCTTTGTAGTCATTTTGTGTCTCTTTGTAGTCATTTTGCATCTCTGTAATTGTTTTGGGTGTCTCTGTAGTCATTTTGTATATGTTAATTGTCATTTTGAGTCCCTTTGTGGTTGTTTTGCAGGTTTGTTGTTGGTTTACATGTCTTTGTAGTTGTCCCACATTTATTGTTGTTTCTTGCTGTAGTTGTCTCATTTACTTTGCTTGCAGCTACACACACACACACACACACACACACACACACACAGTCTTTCTCCCATCTGCCCAATGAGGAGTTGTGTGTGTTTGTATGTGTGATTTTGAGCCTGAATGACACATCTGAAGAACAAAGATAAGAAACAGTAGGAACAAAAAAAAAAAAAAACACAATATGCAACCAACAATATGCAATGAAGGAATGAGGATATTGTATTGAGATGCTGCTTTATTACCATTTAGATACGCGGTAGCTGTGAGGGGGCGGAGGGTGGGTGAGGGGTGAGAGACCGAGAGATACGATGTAATGGATGAGACACAACTCATGAAAATCACTCTTGGTCAAATGTGGTTTTTAGTATATGTAAATAGGGTTAAACTTTAGATATGAATATGGGATATTGCGACTGAGCGTTCTTAAATTGCAACACCTTTTCTGAAATGTATTACTCATTTTTTAGACACTTTACATTAAACTAAGAAGAAAGTGAAAAGTATTTGCTTGAAGCAAAGTTAAAAAGACAATTGATTTTGTCCCTGATTTAACAATAATCTGACATGTTGGACAGACCATGTAATAACATCATAGAAATTCTGTTTTCAAAGTAGTCTTTAAGCAAAACATGTACGTTTAGTTTTCTGGAGATATATGCAGTAATGTAAAAAGGAAAATATTGACTATTAACATCCGTTCTAACAAGCTGTCTGCTAGAATGAACAATGGTTAACGAGTCTTCAGTTCTGGTTAATAAGAACATACCTGATCTATTCAATTGCCTCTTGTTGCTTTGACTGAAGGTCATCGTCACTATATACGAGCAGAATAGCTTTCTATTGTCTATTTCTTATCTGTTTTTTCTCCAGACTTTATTTTAACCTTCCGTCATCATCACCTCTGTCCGTCTGACTATCCAAGAGGACATCTCTCATGTAACACTCGCATTTCCTGTCCATTTTTATTTCCCCTTGTCTCTTTCCTTTCTTCATCCATGTCTTCTACAGAGCATGAAGAGCTGTCGGAGTCACAGGTAATGCACTGACAATGCAGAGCCAGGGAGTGCTGACCCTTCACACTGTAAAATAAATCAACACTACATTCTTGCTTAAGTGGCTTTTTTAGTGCTTGGGAATTCATTTTCTTACACTCAAGTTGTCCTTGACCCTGGGGTCTTCACAATTTGTGAGCAGCTCATGTACATGTACAGTTTTCAAAAGGACCACACTTCTTTGTTAACGTTTGAAAAAAAATCTGTAATCTTGGCATTATTATTCCCCACATTTCTTTTTCTACCTGTGAACCATCACCACTGTTCCAGCGGGCTCTTTTTGTTCTCCTATACCCTGCTTGTCTTTTGTTTGGTATCTTTAACTTGTCTAACGATTGACTCAGAGTGCCATTGGCTTCAGGTTTCACCTTCCCTGACATCTGAAAGGAAATATTTGTAGAGAAATCACAGAAACGTATGGGAATGATAAATTTTCTCCAGTTTCT